AATTGCTAAGATCCGTAATATGCTATTAAATGCAATTACAATTCAACAAGCTGGCATTCAAATAAAGCTCCAGCTGATATTCCACACCTGAGTATTAATTCCAACACGAATTTCAATTAGTCCAATCAGCTCAACCGTATACCCTATAAAAATTGACATAAAGTCTCCAATTTGATGGCACTTTTTGTTAAACCCTTGCAGTTTGTTGTTACAAAACTATGTTGTATACAAAATTAATAATATAATAAAATATATATATATATATATATATATTTATTGATCTATAATGCTGCTATATGTTTATCAGAAATTCCTTCCGAGCCGAGCTGCTTGTCAAAAGATATTTTTCTTTCTAAATTAATTGTAATTAATGCTAGTATAATTTACATAAAATCAAAATGTCTGCTCTAAAGAGTCGCTTCTCATTGGATTTGTTTAATTTCATAAATTTATATAGTTGAATTGTCCCAAAATTGACCTACTGGATATCAATTTTTAATAAGCTAATAAGCGAAAACCTTTCAACTTTAAATATAGCACATAACTATGCATATATCCTTATATATATCGGGCATTACTACTACTTATAACAAATGCTTACAAAATATATACAATTAATGTAAGTTAAATCTGCAAGGGTATTTCAAATTCGACAGACGTAAAACGAAATGTTTACAGACGCAAATTCATAATTATTTTGTAAGCAAATGTGAAATTGTTTTACGAAAATTAAAACATATAAATTGATGATCAATGTCAAACAAATGCAGACCATTTGAATGTAAAACGTATTAATTAATATAATATAAAGTTTATAATTATTATGTGTTTCTTGAAACAATGTAAATTATAATTATATTGACTAATGCATAAGTGTTTTTTGTTCTCTAAGTTTTTGTCATTGCTTATTATTACGAATTTGTTTATTTGGCTTCGGCATTGCCGAACTAAAGTTTAGCCTAAGTAAACTAAAAAATGTTAAATAATAAAAAGAAAAAGTAGAAGACGAAGTAAGCAACTTGTGGATTTCATGTGTAATTTGCATATATTTTATATTTGTAAATGTTACCTACTGCATTCCTAGCACAGTTGTGGAATTGAACAATATTTGAATTGAAACGTTTGCAAACCAACAATAAACAAATACAAATTGAAATATTGTAGAACTAAGCAAAACCTAACCAAAAACAACTCTAAATTATTAGCAACTAAAACTAAATAAACGATTTCGAGCAAAGAATTGATTGTAAAAATTTTAAATATATACAATTTTTTTTTTTTTTTGAATCAGCAACTCGTTTAGATGTTTGTATGAACGTATTTATAGGGTATTCAGCAGATGCATAAATGCAAGCATATAAAACAAAAACAAAAACGGCAAAACCAACAAAAAAGTAAATAATTGTATTTAAATATGAATGTTTGTACCATAAATTTGATTCTTGTGTTAATAAAACGTATACTATATGTACAAGTTGCGTATAATTGGACTTGAATTCGTTTCACTCTCTGGCATTCGACAGACACTTCCTCGTTTGCATGGCCACATCCTGATTAGCTGACTGGCCGTGCGACCTGACTAGCGATATTTACCTGGAAAATTTGTGTGCAGCTGTCACGTGTGTACGCAACTTTGTTGTTTACTGATCCGATCGTCATTAAAGTTATTTTCAATGTAAAATTCATTGAAAACTTGTTTCACACTTCTCGGTAAAGCCATTTACATGACTGCAGATCGCCCTCAAAAAAAAAATAAATAAATAAACTAACCGCATACCGAAACACACGTAAAATATGTGAAACAAGGTTGTGAAAACTGTTTTTGTTATTTTTCCTATTCGCTGTATACGCATTTTCAAGAAAATATATCAGAAGTCATTGAAGCCTTATTCGGCACTTTTCCGGAATTAACAGAGGCTAAATTTATTTTTACACGTCAACAAAAACATGAGCAATATGTGATTCGGCTTTTGGGGAAGTTCTGCCCACGGCCAAAAACGGTTGACTGCAATATTTTTGTTTCTTGTCCAATTAAATGATTTTCATTCAGCGGCGATATCGATGCTGATTTTAAATGGAGGTTCGGAAAAATTTGGAAAAGTTAGGCTTTTCCAATGGGTGAGAAATGAGAACGCGATGTCTACGATTAAATAAAATAACTTGGCCCGACCGCCAGCTTAATATAAATACTTTATTATTTAGGATAGTAATATTATTAAGAAAAAAAAAGAATTACACCCAAAAGACTTTCACGTATGCAATCAGTTTGAAACCCTTAGATCTTTTAGGGTATTACCCAGTTTTGTCAATCATTGCTAGCCTTAGCTACCTTACTCGAAAGCAATAAAGCGACATAAAAGCTTTCTCTTAGAAACTAGGTATATATCAGATATATATGTATATCAGCGAACGCTTTGTGTAGCTTAAATCCGACTATAAAGACGGGTATTCAATCAGTGTCACACTGAAAACAACTACTTCTACATGTTTTTTGAATGTTAAAAGCTGTAAGGAATATACGTATTTAATCTCTTCAAATTTCACTGGCACTCACACAAAACAAAAGACAAAACTCAACTGGCTGAGCCGCCGATAGACGGTGCCTCGCAATTTCGGGTGCACCATCTTGAAGAAATCCCAATGCAGCACTGAGCCGGGACCAGCGACAACACCGATTGGCAAACAGAACTCCACTCGACATTCGACCTGCGCAGATTTTAGCCATGTAAATTGGCAATACGTGTAAACAGGTCCATTATTTAGTTAAGCAATTGCGTTTCTGTGGGCACCCGCCCCACTTGACTCCACCTCAGCTGAACTGTGGCACAACAACTAGGACTATGCAAGCAAAAACTTTCCCTTCATAGAAGGTATAGCAAAACTTTCAGAAAGCTAGAGCTAATGAATGTCGAAGAGTAGAAACACTTTCCGATTTGCGTAATAATTTAATATTCTATATTTTAAAAGTCCACTTCAATCCCATTTTTAAGCAGATTGCATAGAAACAGAAGACAGGCGGCGCCTGTGAGGGTTGAGCTGCTCTTTGGAACGTGTTAAACTATTTCTGACAAAATTACAATGTCGTCTAAAAATGGGGTTTTATTGTATTTCTTTTTTATCAAATTTAGGTACACACTCTGTCTTTGCTACTCAAATTTGTTGTAAGGAACAACAATCGTGTATTTCATCGCATAAACTTGATAATTCTTAACTTGAAATTTAAGTATACTCTGACTTTCTTACTCTGCCAATACAATAACAGTTAGTGCACACTAGAGTTTTAAGACGATATCGAGCATAGTCCAATTTATATTTTCATAAAATACAACTCCTTTAAAAAGCAACAGAATATATGAGATTTGAGCATGGCTCAGGTAAGTGTGAATGGGTTTCCCTGGTAAACAAACTTGATGTCTTCTGTGTCACATGTGCTGTGCCAGCGACCAAAGTTCAAGGTGCCCAACTACGGCATGGGGCGCAGGTCCTCGGTTATAGCCGTACTACAAAAACTTAAACCATGCATCTATGAAAAGTACGCTTCTTTTTTGGGTGACAAAAAGGACGACGAGAATTCGAAGGAGGCGGAAAAGTTCACTCTAACCGAAAACGCAGCCAAGGCCCAGAAGCAGCAGCCAGAGACAAGCCCCAAGCTGATGACTGCCAAGTTTGACCCAGCTAAAAGCATTTGGCAGAGCAGAGTAAAACAAGGTTCACCGCAACGTCTGCCGACTATACCCGAGGTTAAGGAGGTCCCCAAAGAATTCAAAGAAACTGCCAACCAGGTAAATATTGACTCGCCTCTCAAGGTAACAGTTAACCTCTCCCCAAGCTGCCCAAGAAAATGAAATCTATATTCACGGATGAAGAGCTGAAGCTTCTTTTACCGATAAGTCGCTACATAGACGACAAGCTGCGGCATCTGGGAGATGCCATAAAGGCCGACGGAATTTGGGAAAATGTAATTATCGAGAAACAGAACATAAGACCACAATTTGTTGTCGCCTTGCCGGAGCCGCGGTTCGCTTGGCGCATTGAAATCGATCTGATTACCAATCCCACGGCCATTTATCTTATAAGCTCCGGCATCTTTTGGAAGGAAACAATGCAACATGCCAATCCCAATAGCATAATGATGAGAGCCATCGAGCAGACGCTCTATCCCATGGACGATAATCTCAATGACAGGAAACTAACCAATAACCACGAAGGCATTTTGAATACCTTGACTTCCTATTTGACTGATATTCAAACGTTCTGGAAACGCGATACGAACCAATTCATGAAAATTGTTGTAACTTATTTCGTTATACTTTGTTTAGTTGGATTTCTGTTTACCATATATATTTAGGTTAATATCGCGAAATTACCTTTTTTGTTATAAGTTATTATATTATGAATCCGAAAAATAAATGTGCCTCGTATAACTCTAGTAAATGATAATATTTCCCACTATGGATTCAGCTATATACGCTGAAGTATCTATGGATAACAACAACAACGACAAGCCAAGAAATTAGTTATCCTTTAGCAGATACAGATAAATAGAGCTAAAGTAATTTCTTTCAAAAATACAATATGAAACCAAGAAGATAATTTGTATTTTCAGTTGAAGGTAGAATAGCGTCAAGCGAGGCACAGCTTTTAACATTTACCCAAACAGAAATAATATTATGAAAAAGCTAAGGCTTCAGTCTCAGGTATTTTAAATAAAAAAAAAATAGATGTGCACCACTGTGGGTGCGAAATTTATGCGAATTTGTTAATGAATATCCGTGAACACCACGGCCGGGACAGAAGACAACAAGTGTGACTGCTGCCGGAGAGATGGTGGATACCGAGCTGAATTTTACGATGCAAACAAAAAATAATAATAACGTGGTCAACTTTATGCTGTTTGTTTGTTAGCAGGTAAGCAGCAGCAGCAGCAGCAGCAGCAGGTTGGAGCAGCAATTGGGGTCCAGCGTTGCGGGCAGAGCACACACAGAGCACAGGATACGAGCAGATAAACAAGGCAATAAGCGTCAGGCAGGACACTTGTTGCCATTGCTCCTCATTAGCCGGCGCCCAACTTGCATATGAGTGGGCGTCTGCTTGGCTTTTGTTCCACTCCGGCTCATTAGTTCAAATATAAGGCCAAAGGGCATTTCATTTAATTATGCAGTCGCCGCCAGTTGGGCCCCACGCTGTTATATTTCAAAACCGGCCAGCGCAGCCAGCAAGCCGTTCAGTCAACCAGTGTCCATCGTGTTAGCCACACACAGTCGCCAGCGCAAGAGCTCCCAGCCAACAAGTCAAGCAGCCAATCAGCCAGCCAACTAGTCCCAAGAGAACACAGCTCTAGCCATGAGCCAGATCGGCGGAGTTGCCGCAGGGCCACGCAACTGGACTCTGCGCGGCGCTGTTTTGCTACTGGCCCTGCAGCTTCTCCAGACACCAAATGCACTGCAGCACACCGAGGAGGGTCTCGAGTTGCTCTTTCGCGAGCGGTAAGTCCTTGGATCATATCAATAATTCAGTTACGCATCTGAATTTAGTTCGAAATGAATTGGATACTTAAATGTTTCTTTATTTTTGCTTGACGTTTAAAAGTTGTGCCATTATATTTTCTATTAGCCAAAAAGGGAAATTCATTTCCAACCCACCCAATTTGTGTGTAAAATATAAATCGATTTAGGTCAATTTCCAACTTATCCGATAAAATGTGATTTTCATGTTATGCACAGATCGCATTGCATTAAGAAATTGAGAAATTTCAGAAAACTTTTTAATATGCAAACAAAATTAAATCTGATTTATTATTATCAGAAAAAAAAATAATGTTGCAGTTTGATAAAACATATTCTATGGCTTTAAATGCAGCCGAATATAATGCATTTTATAAGAAAAAAGTAGCAAAGTGCTTTCTTCATAAGCAAAATTCCAAAATGCATAAGAAAAGATTTTAAATTAAATTCAGATATTAATCTTAATACTAAAAACTATTTAAGCTAACAATACAAGATCGAAAAAAATAATCACAAAGCCCACAAAAAAATCATTTTGAAGATTTGCATAAAATAAAAGGCAAGAGGTTAATGAATTGTTAAAGAAAAAATAATAATAAAAAAATAACATTAATTTTAGAATAGAAGAGGGTTTATATCATCACAAAGACTAAACTTCTTCGAGAATATTTATAATATTCTAAAATAAAATTTAAAAAATAAAATAAATCAATATCTTTAAATAAAATCAAATTCCCAAAGCTGTTAACTTAATAAGTGAAATTAATAGAAGATAAAAAATATGCACAGCTCACAATCCGATTGGGAGAACGTGTGGCATCAGGAAACGCATTCCCGATGCCGGGACAAGCTGGTCCGCCAGCTCTACTGGGCCTGCGAGAAGGACATTTACAGACTAACGCGGCGCAACCGTAAGAGGGGCGGCAACGAGGTCTTGACCAAGAGCAGCTACAATCGTGAGTAAACGTGAACTTCATATTAAATTGTGTGCATAATTTGTGCAAAAAAATTCGTATACAAATCGTAATTGAAATTGTTTTCCATCCTACAGCCGCAGCTGGTTCCGCTGCCTCCACCTGGCTGCATGTGAACTATGCCAATATGTTGCTGCGCAGCAGACGCTCCGACGCGCCCTCCATTACCAACGAGTGCTGCACCAAGACCGGCTGCACCTGGGAGGAATACGCCGAGTACTGCCCCTCAAACAAGCGCCGCAATCACTACTGAGCTTCTTCAACTACCGTGGCTATTCACATAAGCCCATAATATTGCCTATATAACTATATACACGATATAGCTCCACTCTTTTTTTTTTGTGTGTTTGCAGTTAAATAAAATTTTAGCCACAGAAAAACATTGTTTCATTAAACAATAGTACAAAATATGGGGGAAGTATAAAAAATGAAATATTCTCTATCTGCGTACATCATATGAAAACCTGCATACCATTTGGTGGATCTAGCGCTATGGTCTTCGAGAATTGCCTAAAAAACCAAATCTCAAAATTGAAAAAAATATCGAAGGGAGATAGCTTATCTTCGTATGGTATAGAATATATATTTAAGATTTCAATGATTTTTATCTATGCGTGATATCTCATTGTCGAACTACGCATCACAAAGCTCTCAGAATCTATCGAAAACATTTTTGTTTCTCAACCAAAGTCAGAAATTACAAGGTTCACTATTTTTAAAACATTCCTGGCAAATATTATCAACATCGTACTGCTTATCATCTAGAACAATCGGTTGGAAATACACTAGCTCTGCCAAAACACTTCAAGTCCGCATAAGAGTATTTAATCTTCGGCGTGCCGAAGATCCCAACTTTGATTTCGGTTGGGGAATTACTTAAATGGGGTTAACACAAGTTTTATTCAAGTAAACTAAGCCCACACAACAAAGGAATACATATGAACACGTTTTCACCAACTTGTCGGATACTTTTTGTATCACAGATGCATTACTAATTAATTATGTAATTAAAATGAATAAGATGCAAAGTAAAGCTAATTTAAATAGGTTAGTTAAAAAACAAACAAAAAAGTCATTGCATAAACTGAAGTCTAATTTGGTTGTTACTATTTCGTTCGAAATTCGCAAACTGATGCAGAAGCGTCCAAATTAAAAGCATAAACAACTTTTTTTTTATAACTAAAACTTATTAACAATTTTGTGTATAAATAGATATGGGTCTACAATCAAACTAGTTATAAGATCCTGTATACAATATATAGCTTATCCCATAAGTAATTACAAATTGTGTATTAACTTCAACAACTACAGCTGTGTCATATTAAAACTACACTTAAAAGAGAGACAACCTACAAAAGACTGAGTGTGAATAAATAGGCCAAGCACTACAGACTTATATCTATATATATAGATATATATATTGCTCTACATGTAGATAAACTTTAGATGAATACAAATCTATGCCTTACTGCATATACCATATGTGGAATACACCACACCAAAGCAATAGCAGTCGTACCGAAGCGAAAGAGATGGCAACAGAGTGCAACTGTGAGATTTAGCTATATAGCGTACAGGAGAATATTGGGCAGTGACTAATGCCGGCAATTGTTGCCGCTGCTCGCATCGCCATCCTTGCAGTCCTTTCGCGCTTTGCCGCACTTGTCCGCATTTGTTGACTGATGCTGCCGCTTCGAGCCGTTGGCCTGTCCCTGATCGTAATGCCGGTCCAGCATTTCAAGCAGCGTCTGCTGACGCTTGCCCCCGGCATGGGCTGGAGAACTGGCAGCACCAGCGACAGCAACTGCTGTTTTGTTATTGCTGTTATTGGTTGGGATGGTAGTGGTGGTGGTGGTGCTGCTGCTGCTACTACCGCCGCTCTCAAGACTTGCAGCCAGCATCATGGCATTGGCCTGCTCCTGTTCGGCATCATCATCCGAAACTAAAGCGCCATTGTTTTGCGAACAGTCCGAATCGGCAAATATATCTGGACTCTGCTGCGTTGTTGCGTTTGTAACTGGAGCTGGAGCTGGAGCTGGAGCTGGAGCCGGGGCTGGAGTTGGAGTTGGAGTTGCTGCCGGAGCTGTTTCCTTTGGTTGAGCGGATGGCTGCTTGTGTATCCTCTTCAGCTCTTCGAGCACAAATGCATACAACGACTTACTGCCGCCTTCTTTCTTGAAGCGACGCAGCACGGAGTAGAGCTGCTGCACAGTGGTGCCATGTGCTCGGAACAGCTGCCAGAGCACGTGCAGATCGTCGCGCAGCTGGCGATTACCAAATGTGTAGTAGGCCAAGGGGCGACAATGGTGCGCGCAAACCATCATTTGAATGAGAGCCTTGAGGTGCGGATCGCCGCCAAAGGCGCCACAGCCCCAGTTGCCGGTGGCCACGCCCGGCGGCGGAGTAGACAGCCAGTGCCTAAATCCAATGGAAGCCTTGTTCAACTCACGCAACATAAGCTCCTCGCGATACTGATGTGATTGCAGCTCCTGGCCAAAACTAAGTGCATCAATGGCCACAATAGCCGTGTGACGACGTCGCGAACTGTCGTAGGGTGTGCGGTCATCGTGGTTGCCAGCCCAGACAAAGCTGCTCGCATAGCCCGTGTAGTTGCTGTAACGCTCGCTGCCAACCATCAGCAAGGCCTCCGTGGGCAGCAGACACTCTGTGAAGAGCTTCGACACCAGAAGCTCCGGGCAGATAACAAAGCGTATTTCCTCCTGTACACAGCCCTGGCCCAGGACACCACCGCCCAGAAATTTATTGGCAAAGTCGACCTGCAGCAGACCAATGCCCTCATCCTCAATGGTGCCACCAGCATTAATATGCATGGGTATGCTGGCCAGAATCGCGCCGCTTGAATACCAGTTAACCTCATCCTCCGGCCTGCCACTGAGCCTCACAAACGTCAGGCAGCCTGCGGGCACGTTACTGGCGTCCCGTTCCGTGGGACAAACGCGACGAAAGTAATGAAAAATACATTTGAGTTTCTCCAACACCGCCGCACCGCCAGACTGGTAGAGTCTGTAAATTAAACATACGTATATATATATTTGTGTATATGGTAAATAGTTTGTTCTCACTGCCCAAACCTAATTCGGTTACCTATTGAAGTTAATATCGGGAAAGTTGCTGTACTCGGATTTGCGCTTGAGAGTATTACGACGAGGATATGTGCAAAGGAATGCGTTTGCCAGCAGGCACGAGATCTGCTCCTGGCTCAGCGACAGGGCAACTGACTGGTTTTGCTTAAGCAACGGTATCGGTGCCTTGATTAGCTCCGGCAAGCGCAGGGCTAGGCGGATAATGCGCGGCAGTAGATCCTCAAAAAAGACGCGCGACTCGCTTTCGTCCAGCTCCTCGTTGAATAGCTTGTGCAGCGCACGAAAGCTCCATTGGCCCCTGTACGTGGTATTGTACGAGAGAATTGCCGCCTGCAGCTGTTTGCTATTGCTTATCGGACGTAGTAGGGCGCGCTCTATCATGCCCCAGCGCGATTGAATGTCAGATGTGCCGTCCTCCGCCTCCACTGGATATTTGCTCTCTGCGGCACAGGGGAGACGTACATGCTCGGCGTCCCAGCGATGTGGAGCCCGAAACGGACGCGGCGGCTCAACAGCCGGCTCGCGTATTGGATGTCGATAGAGCACCTTGTGCTGGCCGCTTGGCTGAACGGCGCTCAAGTGATCCAATTCAAACGGATGCAAGCCACGATGCACGGACTCAATAGGCAAACAGCGCCAGTGCCATTGCGGCTCCGACTCGCCGTCGCTGTCTACGAAAATGGGAGGAAATCAAAATTGAAAAACCGGCGGTGGAAAATTTGCCGGACTCACCATCTGAGCGTTGCGACACAGGCGGCGAGACTTTTCCAGCGACTATATCCTGCCTCTCCGCATCTATTTCCATGCTGTTATTGCTTTCACTATCCATTTGATTATCACTGCTGTGCGTATGCTTGAAATCGGCAAGTTGTTTAACAAATTGAAAACGCGACAGCGTTGCCCAATGGAAACGTAGTGCTGGTAAACGTTTACTGAATTTTAACATACTCACGGAATGATTTTGCAGTATGTGCAATTTTTAATCCGCGCACACTTGTAAGTATCAAATTCGAAATATCATGTAAATAACATCTCACACGAAAAATAACACTTTTCACTTTATTTAACACATTTAGTATACGTATAAAATATTTGTATCGATGAAGAAAAACGCGCGTTCACAGTCAACTTCACGTGAGTCGAAAATTGCGCGCAGCCAACTTCACGTAAGTTCGAATTTGCGCGCGCGCAATCTTACGTGTGTGTTTTTGTATGGCATTTAAAGTAAACATATTACTGAGAATACTTAAAATGAGAGAAATATCAGAAAAATAAAGTTCGCCTGTGTATTTTCTTCAAAAAATGTTATTGCTCGACCATGCCATCAGAATGGTCTACGCAAATACACATTTGTTTATTTGAGTGAACCAAGCGAATTTCACGTAACCAATGAGATATACATAGACATAGAGAGAGAGAGAGAGAGAGAGGGAACATGTTAGGTACTTACTTTTGCTAACTGCACTTTAATTTACCGTTCGCTTGTGCTTAATATTTTGCTGTTTAGCGTCGGCCCGCACACATGCACATATACAAAAATGTTCGCGTGTATGTGCATATTAAGTACTTTCACAGAGTTCAACACACCTTTATCGATGCCTAATCAGCCGCACTAGGCGAGCTGCGCAGTTGCTGGATTTTATTTGGAACTCTTTTGCGTTAGCTTCGTGCGAAGCATCGCGTCGCGTCACATGGCGGTCAAATGCGTAAACAAATGAAAACAGCAAAAGAAAGCAGCAACAAAATTATCACTGAAATTTTTCGACCCGCGAAACTCAATTAGTTTTCTGGTGTGTGTGTGTGTGTGTGTGTGTGTGTGCTCTTGTGTATGTATGTTTTACTGTGTGTGTAGCCTTCAAGTCTACGCCGCAGTCGCCTTGACCATAACCTAGAAATATACATACGCGTTGTGTCGCTCTCAGAGATTGCCCGCATGCATATGTATGTATGTGTATGTGCTATAAGGTGTACATATGTGTGTTTACGTCAGCTGCGCAGCTGCAAACAGGTACGCAGGCAGCGGCAGTGACGCCGGCGTCCAATCAGGTGCCAAAAACAAACGACAACAGTGAAAGCAACAGCAACAAAGCGGCAGCATAAGGAGACACACAAACAGGCAATGAAAGCGCTGCCGGCCACAAATACATACATACATACATGTGAATGTATGTATGTATATATGTACATACATAGAGAGAATGCGAAATGTTACTAAACTTTTTCAAGGTCATCTCAAGTATGAACTACAAATCGCAATCACAATTAACGTCGACGCCGACGCCGACGTCGACGTCAGCGCACTCAACTGCAGGCAGCGTCAGCTGCGTATTGCATATTTTATTGTTGCTTAGTTGAGGGATAAGAAAATATGTAATTTTAAATGATGTGTCTGGAATACTCTCTTC